AAATTGTTCTGAGCTGGCTTTATTATAATAACATCAGAAACGTTAAAGTAATAATGATATATTTTTATTTTGTAAAATAAAGCTTTCTCTTTTTTAGAGTCTAAAAAATCACTTATCTATCAGTTATTTTGGGGTTTCTGAAATACATAATGGACTTGCGAGAGACGATTAAGTAGCATCCAATTGATGAATATCTTTACATTTGCCTTTCCTCACTATTATATTTTGACATACAGATGACAAATGTGAACTACAAACTTTCGTATATGTGAAAAACAGATGAAACAACCAAATATCTTTTAATATATGCGTGATAGAATCATCTGTGACGTGTTATGTTACGTGTTTCGGTTATTGATTTTATTTATTAAACTCTAGTTTTAACGGAATAGAGTTATATATAACCACTAATGAAGCGGGTTGTCACATTTAATTTCACCAATAAATTAAACTACCGATAATATTTGCGGTTTGAAATCTGCATTGAGAAACTACCAGTTTTTTCCTCTACTATACTACGTAAGTATATTTAAAAAAACTTATTACACAATCTGGAAAAATACTGATATTTTATTTTGATTTCTTAATATCAAAAATAACGAATATAAAATAACATTTCGTTGTTTGATGTAAAATAAATTACAGCATTCTAAAACAAAATTATAGGTCTTCCTAGCAGCCCTTGCAGCAGCCCTATTATAAGATAAATAGTTTTAGTAATTGTTAATAGATATAACAACATCATATAGTTCATTCAGCAGTTCAATTCTTTATAAAAACAGCCTAAAAGTCAAAGTCGAGTACAGTATAGTGATAACTAAAGCCTGCATTAAGAAAATTTAAAACAACGAAGATACCACTATCACCGTACTCACACCAGGCACTGTCGAACCAAGAAAAATGGAATTGACTTTTAAATAGTTGATGTTCAAAGCATACTTTAAAGCTACCGCTTACAAAATAACTTGCTCACATAATTTTTAGATTCGTTCCTTACATTCGACTGCCTAAATGTATGTTCGCTGTTATCGAAGCTACATTATTATAGTGTATACGTCGTTGTCGTTGTGCAAATCACTCAGAATTTGATATTAATCTTTCAAGCTTTATAATGAAAAGCTTACTTTCAAAAGCAAAAGTGTAGAGTTCCACCAGGGTGTATATTTGGACCTCTGCTTCATAATATGTAGCCACTGATTTAAGAATAGTAAATTGTTATATTACTATTTATGTAATATGTAAATAATAAATAAGTTAATTTCTAGAATAAGCATATTAACTTATATGTTACTTTTAAACTGGTTTAGACAAGGGACAATACTTAGTACGTACTTTAATGAAATAAAGTGATTATATTAATTGCTAAATACTTATAAGGCATACGTTAATAAATAACTATTTGGACTTTTTTTTGCTTTTGAAACGCGATTAAAAATGAGAAAGCAATTTCAGCCTGTTTACATATTACAGTAGTTTTATATCTTTTGCAATCTTAGCTTTTAATTTTTCTAAGTTACGATTGATAATCTATCATGGAACAAACTTCATTCAAAGTCGATTTAAGCTATAGCGAAGCGTAGCCAATTCAAAGACTTATCATTTTTATTTTATGCTGTGTTTCAGTATGATATGTTCTCAGTGTAATTGATAAAACCACTCCCATAAAATTTGCAACGGGGCAGCGCGGCGGCAGTGACGTATTAAAATGTACCAAGTCCTTCCATCGGTTATGTTCACAGGTACAATTCTGTCGATATTGAGGCGATAAATTCGTTTCATCAAACATTTTTTGTGGAACTTGATTTGACAACTACTAAGACAAAACTAATCTAGTGTGAAAAAGTTATATGATAAATCCTATGTATGTAACAAACAGATCACATTATTAAATACGTGTATTTGTAAATACCTTTTATTTATCGGTTAACGATCCTATTTTTATTCCGGTCACTTGGTGTCAGATCGTAGAATAGTTTCCGAACAGTATTAAAGCCTAATGCGGTTTATTCACCGTATAAATAAACGTTTATTTATAGAACAATAGATATAAAAACGGTATGCAGCAGCGTGGAGAAATCTAAACATTGGAACCCTACATACAGTGCGATTAGTATGCATACCTGTGCGACAAACGCAGCCAAAACTGACCGGACTGATGGTGTAACCGCGTGAGCGCGGTAATAATGTGCCGGGTTCGTTTGCAGTCAAAAGCGAAAGTGCTTCCAGTCAGTGGGACAACGACCGACTCCTGTGGCCTGCACTGCTCGCTTCCTGCGAGCATCACCAAACGTCACACCGCTCTGCAGCTGCCAAACGCTACGCAATCGTTCGTATGTGCCGCCGTGAATTGTTTGTAAACATATGGAATTAAAGTCACATTTGTGGTTTGATCCTACAGAATATGTATCTAAAGGAAAGCCACTTTTGAGTCTTATTATTTTATTGTATTTTGGGAACATTTTAAAGTTATTAAACCAAAATAAAAAATTCTAGAAGCATGACAGACTTTGAACAACTTGCGTTCAATCTTTATTTTTCAATGGGTATCTTAATATTGCACCATTTCAACGAAATATACAAACCTCTTTTTTAAGGACTGTTAATCATATTATTCATATTAATGCTGATCATAATATGTTCACTCAAATTATTAAAATTTATAAAAAGTCTTTTCTATAGATTTTTAGATCGTTGTAGTCCTCAACAAATCTGAAATTAAAGAAATCCAATAAACTCTGCAAACATCGTTGCAATCCCCCTCCCCCCCATAGATTTTGGTATCTTTCTAGGTTCCTGTTAATGTCCTGGAGTCTGGAGTCTCCTTGTTCTTAGCAGATTATCAGATTTTTTTTTTCATCTCTTTATAAAAACAAACTATTTATTTCAGAAACTACTTTTAAATAGAACGATGCCTTACGTTATGATTCCCCAAATATGCCAGACTCCATAAACAATCCCTAAGATTCAATTTATATCATGTGGTTTATGAATTCTGTGTTTTTTATGCGGATGAGCGGTAGTAGACATTCTCAAACTCTAATTATCTCTGGTAAATAATCTTTTTCTTTGCTTTAATGAACATGCCATAATATATTATCTGAACATAAACTGTTGCGAGTCATCAAAGGTTTGGGAGATGAGTAGATGTATAATCAAGACAAAGTTTTTTTTTTAAATAGGACACGAACATAGTAAATTCAAGGTCTAGAGCTAATTTAGTAAACCGGTTGTAACTAATTAGGTCAAACGTACCATACTACCGTATACCGTTAGGAATTTCGTAGTTTAAAAAAGATTATAAGTAAGTAAGGTAAGGAAGTTCTAACTAAGTAAGGTAAATGTCCATATTACCAACAGTAAGGCATTTGTAGTTTAAAATGTTTTTAAGTAAGTAAGGTAAAGAAATTGTAACTAAGCAAATAAAGTAAATGTATATACATATACCTTAAGGCATTTTGTAGTTCAAGAACGATTTTAAGAAAAACTGTGAAGAAGGCTCTTGAAATACAAAATAAGCAAACATTATTACAAATTACTAGTATGATAAATGTAACGTGGCGTAATATAGCTTTATGAGATAATATGATCATAAAATTATAATTAGTAGAACATTTGATATTATAACAGTTCCTTCAAGTCAATCTATTTCAAAATATGCATAACTCTTTCTGTAAGTTCTATCGCTTTCGATACTTACGCCGAGGGATCTTTAACGGCATTATTGTTGATTAGTGATTTTGCTCCTAATCGTTGAAAAGGGATTATATATCTTTATAAATAAACCTCGAGCTCAATGGCGCAGTGGCTAGCGCGCTCGGTCTTCGATACGGTTGCTAAGCAACAACAATGGCCTGTCATAGGATGGGTGACCAAAAATTTTCGTGCTTCGGAAGGCACGTTAAGCTGTTGGTCCCGGCTGCATCTGCAGTCGTTAATACCTAACAATCCGCACTAGGTATGTATGGTAGGTCATGGCCCATTCTCCCTATTCGGCACGATTCGATTCCATCCATAAGAAAGGCCTGAGCCCCAGTGGGGACTTTAAGAGACTGGTGATGAGTGATGATAAATAAACCAAGAAACATGAAAAAAGCAGTGTATGAATAAGTTAATCAATTGTGAGCTTAAAGGAAAAGTCATAGACTTAATTATTAATTAATTGTTATAATAAAGGCTAAAAGAAGAAAGCCTATTTATAAAAATTCTAAAATTAAATTATATATGTATTTAATACCGGTGAAAAGGTAGCTTAAGAATGATAATTTATTTTAACGTAAATTAATAAGACCATTCAAACACATTCTATGTTGTATAAGTTAATATATCAGTCTAGTTAACTAACTGTTATAATGTTATATGTCTTGTTATTTTTACAAATTAACCATTTCCATTAAAAAAGTATAATGAAAATCCAGCAGCATCTAGACATAGTAGATCTAGACTCTAGAATGACAGTGACGCAAACACGTATTGTTTACTGCATTGTTCAAATTTCCCTGTCAGTGGAGACAACCAGTCGCGTACCTGTCTAGTGAACGCAATCGTTACCGAGTCGCGTCGGTCTGCATCGACAGGCATGCGCACACAGACCGACCGAGTATTCGACCAAAAGGGAAGTGAGGAAGAACGAGTTTCACGCCGCCTGTAAATGATCGCCGCGCTGTGCCGCGCCGCCCGCACCCGCAGTCCTCCCGCCGCGCCGACTCTGCACGCTCCACGCTAACTGCATCATGGTGAGTCATTACAGAGTGCGAACTATTCATATGTGACGACCTTTACGCGTTAGATACTAAAATAGCTTAGTTACGCTATAAAGTTGCCTTACGCGAAAAACAACAGTAATCAACATAAAAAATCCGAATGATCTCTAACGCAGAACTGCAATTCTTAACATTATATGAACAATGATTTGAGAGAAATCGTGGAAGTTCACGTATTAACATTGAAGGTCAAAACACCGTTTATTAGATCGTATAACAGTCTCGCACGAATTTCAGGTAATGGACAACCGTATGAACGAGGGAAATGACCATGAACACAATTCTTCGATATTTGTAACAAATTTTCAAAATGGTGAAACCGTGAATTATCCTCTCGTTTTAATAAAAGGATTTATAACAAGAGGAAACTCTAACAACCAAGAACAATTGATATGTACAGTTTCAAACGATGGAATCAAATACAAATCGCAATGGAATGTATATAATGGAGAATTCAAAGTGCTTGTTGAATTGACCAAAAGTTACAATACTATTGATTTGGATTTTAAGGGACAGAAAAAAACATTATTATTGGAATACAGTCCCCGCAACACAAACCTTAGAGTTACCCCTGTTTACATCATTTGTCAAGGCCACGATGGATGTTTCCAAAGTCCGCTTGACGTCGATTGTTCTGTAGAGAGCGCTTGTTCAAAAATTTCATTAGGTGCAAAACTAATACAAAGTATTACAGCAGAAAAGCTTTTTGAAAGCGGAATAGGAAGAAAGACATTTCAACTTGAACATGAAGTAGATCCTAAAAAACCTGAATGCATTATATTTCGAAGTAATTTAAACGTTAACAAAGCCAGAAAAATGAAACAGGCTGAACTATGGACACATTTTGGCAGAGAATTAATGCTATCAGAATTAGGAAGCAATGAAAGAAAATTTTTGGGCTTCATATCTTGTACACGATTTAAGGGCACGGATATCGACAAGCCAATGACGCATGATGAAATTGTTTCTCTAACTGAAGCTTATGCAGCTTTGGGGGGTGGAGGCCTAGCTTTATTCGGTACTGCGTGTTTGTATACATGGCCTACATCTGTAGATGAAGTGATACCTAAATTCTTAGACTCAACACCAATTAACTCGCGGCGCTTCATGGATGACAGTGGCTATAGAGGCACTGTTGGTGGATGTTTTGCGACAACATTGGGATCAGTTTTTCATGAGCTTGGTCACACTTTTGATTTAGGCCACACTAAAGATGGTATAATGGGACGTGGATTTGATAATATTGATCGTGTTTTCATTGTAGGAGAAAAAAAATCATCATTAGTTAAGGATAATATGAATAATTATAGTGGAAAACCAGTTCAACATTCTACTGTTTCACTTCAACGAAATATAAGTGTTACAATGAATGTGGCAGAACCATTACGAGTATTAGGACCAAGAAGTAAAACGACACTTGGAAATTTTGCTTCAATGTCGAAGTCTGATATAGTAAGAAGAAGTCCAAATGTTACTCCTATAACTAGGCCCTCAAGCGTGTATTCGAACATAACTAATAAATTTTCTGATTCCAAGAAAAACATAAATCGTATCAACGGTAATGACCCCATTTACTGGACCAGAAACTGTGCTGTACTTTTATCTTACCACAGATGGTTCAATAATGAATATGGAAGAGAAAGGCAAGCAATTACAAGATATTTAAAATTTGACAAAAATAAAATGATGATAATTTCAACTGCTGGAATAAGAATTGTTGAAGTACGAGATGAGTCGAATGGCATGGTATTAGATTCGTACGAATTCACCGATCTACTACCAGAAAAAAGGTTTTTGGTACCTTTTACGTTTTCTCCAAAAAGTAAAGTGTTGACAATCGTCGTAGAAGACGATTTAGGAAATGTGTTAAAACAATCCTTTTCATATTGATTTCAAAATTTAAATGTATATCGGAATGACAATAAAGTTATAGGGCAAAGGAAAGTATTAGTACTCCAAAGAAATATGTAAATAATAAGTATGTGTCGCAGACACTAGAAATAGTATTTAAAAAAACATCTATTATATTTTTATTAAATGTAAATAATAACGGCAATAACACTGTACAATGCGATTTTAATGAAACAGAAATAGGTAGGTATACCTTAGAATAAATTAATGAATATATTATTGAACCAAGCAAGATGCAGTATGAAAAATCGTGCATTGTTTTGATTTTCTTTCCATGGTAGTATTCATTGGTTATTTAATGGCAAGAAGTTTAGATATCTCTTTAACCAACTTTAAAGTTAACAATGACAGTTGACATTTAATTTAAACATGACGTTTTTGTGTTTATTTGTCTCTGTGATAGTATTTATTTACAGGGAAACTGATTGGATAGATATGATATCCATATCTTGTATCAGTTACTTTATTCCGATTACCTAGTTATCAATTATAAATTAATATATATTTATAAAAATGGTTAGAACGTGGTGATAACAGTCTCCTATATTTGGCTGTATAAGTGCAAACACACGCATATGATATGGCTAGCACAAGTGATACATCTCACATATTTTTCTATAACTTAAAAGAGTTTCCATTAATAATAGATGGAAGAATTAATCTTACGGATTTTTTAGCAGCTACTAATGATTTAGTGATTTTAGTTGGTATGTACATAATTAATAACATTTTTGTTTATAACCTAATTATTTCTCCTCTTAAGTTGCTGAAACAAATAGCATGTCTTTACAGAACGCCTCGGAAAAATATTCAAACCTGTAAAATATGACATGCAAGGAAATATTGATGTAAGTAAGGAAAAGGATTTAGTGATATAATTTGTTAAATGTTGTAATTCGATTGGTTGATATTTTAGAAAATAAAGAGTTTCTATGTTTTTGATGGATCATCGTGTTTGCTAGAAGTAATGCTTAATGAAATCAATGATGGGAAATGTAATGGGGCGGAAGGAGTGTTATGGCTTAATAGGTAAGAGAAAGAATGTACTTTAATGGTAGATTTAAGCCTATATTACCACACATTTTAAACAATGACTCACTCTAATAAAGCTAGTTTATCTTAGATTAAATGGATATTTTTGAATTGATGTATTAGCTGAGACTGAATGTTCCATAGTGAAAAGAACTAATATTCATGGTCCTTGTAACTAATATTTAACTTTTGAAGAAAAGTCTTAAAAGATTTGTGTTATTTTATATCTTATAATAATACTTTTCGCCTTCCATTAAAGACTGGAGCATAAGAGGTCGAATCATTAAATTTTCTTCATTAGACTACAGAATTGAAAATAATATTGTTTGGCAATTTTCAGAGCAATATTGTTTTTTGAGCTAATATTCCAAGAGATATTGAAGTGTCTGCAAGTCAATAACTATGATATAAATTTGACAAAAATATATATAATTGCTTATGAAAGCTCAGTAAAAAAATATCATAACTGGGTTATACAACAACTATTTGCTGTAAGTTGTTATGACAAAAATATTGTATGTTACTACAGCATTTATTTATTAAATGTTTATTATTTCAGCTTATCTGCAAAATGTCTCCATCATTTAAAGAAATAATGAGTTCACTAGAAGTTGAAAAGGATATGGGTGGATTTGAATTAAAATTAGCAAGTTATAATGACAAATTGCATTTAATTAGATGTAAAATTGATGACTTTTTTGTTGAACATAATTTATTTCAATAATGTCAAAATTGAAATGAAGCTGCGATTACATTGTTCAAAGGTTTTGCATTAATGAATGGCATATTATTTAAAATATGGAAATAAAATTAAGCTTTTATTTTCTGACCATGATTTGAGTTTAAGTTAGTTTAGTTTAATTAAGAATATTAATTTAGTTTTATGTTTGTTTACCAATACAATTTATGTTGATCAATAAATGTGATTTGTTAATACTTTAAAAATGAAGTATTTTCTAATGCATACTGTATGTATATCTCTATGTATTCTGCTCTTGTATATAATAATTAGTGGCAAACAAAATTATAAATAAGGTTGATAAACCAACCTGTTTAAAAACGTTAATATTTTTTTTCTCATATTTTATTGTGTATCTCTATTGTATTATTGTGTGTCTGCTCTATTCTCCAATAGTGGGGGGATGTGAATATAACTTGTATCAATATGATGATGGAATTGAAATATATTTAACTGTCAGGTTTCCAATAAACCATCATGATTTTGAACAAGATTATAAAAATGTATTACTTAAATTATTCAGTGCTGTTATAATTAAAACAATGTTTCTTTCTGGCTATATAGTGCCTTGACATATGGTTGATAACATAGTATAATGAAATATTGATTTTAAAAATCAACAGTAAATATCATTTACTGTAATTAACAGTTATATTTTAACACTGAAATTCTTATTAATATGATAACAATAAGAGTATGCAAGAAACATTGTTTTAGTAAAATTATAATGTGGTCTTTATCAAAACTGTACAACTTTTAAGAATACTAAGTTTATTTAATAATAAAATTGGATTTCCATTTAAAATTGTATAATAAAAGTTGTCAAACAACTTCAATAATATTTTATTGAATTGTATGTATTTAATTAAATTTTCAAATTTATTTGAACAAGGTAGTTACTTACTCTATATTCCATAATACTTCAATCACACTTCATATAGCTAAAAATTATTATAAATCAACATTCCATTAATGGTTAAATTAGGTAAGGCCTTCAATTATAGTCTTTAGAGTTCACAGCCATTAATAATAATATAATACAGGGGCTTTACTTATCTTGGAATTTAAGCAATATATAAGTTTGTCTAAAATGTAAATTTAAAAAAGTTCTTACACTTTTCACAGTAAACATCATATTGACAACTCAGTTATTGCACTGCTTTAAATAAATCCTTTTTGCTATTGATGAAGCCTGCCTAAGAGCTAGAAAACTTAATACCACTTCAAAAATAGTAACAACCCATAAAATTCCATGTAGGACTATTTCTGTTGGTGTACTCAGCAGGTAAGGATTGAACAGAAAGAAACTGATTAGTGGCATTTGCATCAGAGTGGTAAGCATAAGAAACCCAGCCAGTTCAGGTACCTGAAACAGTTTAAAGTGATAACATTAATAAAAATAACATCTTTTTTCCTTGTAAAACCAAGGAATTATAGTATCTTTATTGCATAGTTAGGGTAAAAACCATATCATAAAAAATATAATTGTTTTATAACATGTGAAATTACGAGTAAAGAACTACATGCCAAATCACAAACCTACATCTAAAGGTGTACTAGGTAAGCAGAATTAACAATATTTAAAGCGAAACTCACTCTACAAGACAAGTTTCCGTAATGACCAAGGTACAATCTTGTCGATTCTATTATAATCAGCAAAGTGAACACTGTAAGTGCTAAATATTTTGTGAGATGCCCTAGGATACTGAGCTGAAACAATAAAAAATATTAATGATTACAAAGCAGGAATAGGTGAGATATAATGAAAGGATAAAATTGACCGATTTTATTTACCTTCATAAAAAGAAAAAATGACACAACTAAAATCCAGACTAAAAACACATACAAATTAAAATACAAGCACTTTTGTAGTAAAAGCATATTTCGATAATTCATAGTGAGATTGCATGGGAATTATTAAAAATTTACTTTTCTTTGACAAATCGTGTTGATAAATAAATGGCAAACCACAGACAAAGCTTTTTTTTGGTGCAATTTTCCCATTCCTACTGGGGGGGGGGGGGGCAAAGGGTGCTTAGCTCATACAGCCTCCGTGAATCTTATTTACAAATTGAAATATTTTAATATGTGAATGACGAGGATGAGCGGGTAGATACGTGAAGTATAAAAATTCAGTTTGCAGTGGTTAATTTGTTACTAAATTTCGACGATAATATTGTACTTAGAAACGTCATAAAAGATTTTTTAGTAATGTAATGATTATTTATTTAATGTTGAATTTCAAAATGTTGATTAGGACATTTCGCCACGCCCTATCATTAATGTGGGATCTAAATTTTAACTATTTTTGTTTCACTGTATAAAACCTCATAAAAGGGTGTACGGAATAATATCTCCTCTACATCGAATTGTACACACATGCAATTCGATGTAGAGGAGATTTGTGACCGATATTGACAGATTGTGCAATCTCATGAGTAAACAAACACCTGCGATTCTCTTATTATAAGGGCGCGCGATTCGTGAGATATCGCTCGTCGATATCGAATTGCACGGAAAACGTATAAAAAAGTTTAACAAGATTATTGTGTACGATAAAAAGCGCTATAGTTAAAAAACTGAACCCTTATATGGAAACTCTTACTTAATTAAATTTTATTGTCGCCCTATTAAAAACAGCCTCTGTCATATCTCGCTCGGTTCGCTTTTCAGTGGGAGTACTCTGTCCTGTTGTAAATACTAAGACTTTTGGATTTGGATTTAAAAAAACATTAGTTTCCACTTTTTTAAATACTTTTGCCTAACTTTTTTTAAATACTTCCTCATTATATGGCTGTTTTAACCAATTGGAACGTAGAACTTTTGGTATTTATGTTGTACTCTTAATATTGAAAGTGTTATAAAAGGACGTTTATAGGTGCCTGAAGAGATAGATAGACATAAACTATTTATAAGTTTTGAAAATTAATTTATTTTTATATATGAAAGGAAACCGGAAGGGCTGTCATGGAGAAATCAAGAACGTACTGTAGCGACATCTAGTTTGATTTTGGGAACTAATGTTTTTTTAATACTTCCTCATTATAAATATATATTATGTTAAATAAAGTTTAATTCATTCAATGGTTGGTATTGCACTTATTTAATTTTTAAATATGGACTTATAGCTCAGACTTCACAGGCACTATGATAATTTAGTCTTTTACACATTTCCTATATCCATTGCGTCCAGGCAGCTCCAGTTTTAGTACAGGAACTGTGTAAATTAGGTACACAGTACCTTGTTTATATTGTTAAACTTACCTAAATTTTTTAGTTTCATTATATATAGAAACTACCTATAATGACGATGTACAGTAAAACTCATTGGAGTTCATGCGAAATCACCTATAAGATATAATGCTACCATTAAACTGTCGTATTTTTAATAAGTAATAATAAAATCACAACTTTCATCCAATGTGTTTTTGTAAGTACTTAATCGTCTGAAGTTTCTAAAGTGTTAAAGGTTAGGCCATGCTTCCCATAATAAGAGCCATAACACATAGCTAGCAAACATCTCATAGGGTGGGGATTGCACAGAAAGTGTTTTGGGTATGCGCTGGATGTGACACTGGGCAGTATTTTATGTATGTACCTACTCGAAGAAAACTATGCCGTCCCCAGAGTGCTTAGTTTGGATTTTATTTGATTTAATGAGGAAGTATTAAAAAGAGCGACTCTAGCAAAAGTTGATTTTTGCAGGAAACGAATGGACCAAAGATAGTCATTTCCGTTCCTTAAAACTATCATATTAAAAACTAAATTTGAAAAGTTCCAAACTGAGATATCAATACAAATACGAAAAAGTACAAACAGAATATGAGTTGTTTATTGAATTTTGAAAACTTATTTAGTTTGAAATATAAAAGAAAAAGAAGGGTTGTCATGGCGAAATCAAGAACGTACCGTAGCGACATCTAGTTTGTTTCGGGAACTAATGTTTTTTTAAATAATTCCTCATTTACATTTTTATCCTACAATTTGTGCTGCCATCTAATGAAATATTTTTTTGTAGTTTTTTTTTCATATACTTCCTCATACTCAAACTCGCATGTATTCACTGTTTGATTTGCTTGGCGTTTACTCGATTGACGTGGTAGTAGTTATTCGCATAAGTTAGTGGAAGTTAAACTAGGCATTCTGAAGTCGCTTTTTTTTCACTTAAATTAAAATGCTTTTGCACCTTGCACGTAAGCATTCCAGTTTTGTGTGTAAGCTCTTTGGTTTATTATTTGGTTTATTTTCCTTTCATTAATCCTTGAAGGCAAGAAATAATACTTCATATCATAAGGCTGAATAATATGCTAGATCCCTTTGCTTGCTATCATACACAACAACAACTTTAAATAACCTTACCAAAATATATAAAAAGTATTTTAAATAAAAATAAAGCTGGAATTAAAATATAAAATACAATAATAATTTGATATATAAAATGCTCTGTCTTCGTTCTTTTACCTTTTCAATGGGTAAGGTTTTCAAATTTTGAAGTTAATTTCCCTCAGACTAATGTGTTAAGTCTGGTTTCTTCAATTCTTAAAATAAAATAATAGATTTTACATATCTATTAAATGTTATATTGCTTTCTATTTTAGGTTTACTGCGTCCTAATAGTAGTGACGTAATGGTATGCGCAGGTATTAAGTACTTTCCACCGCCTAAAAACTATGACCGTAAGTATGTGAGCGTGGGTCTCGTAGCTGTTTTAATTAAATTACATTCACATTCATTATTTTAGTTTTTATTTTATTTGACTTTAACTTACTTATAATATTTTTCTTAAAATAATATATTGTAATAAAAAAATAATGTAAACAATGTTCCCTCGAAAATAGTACATTTACTACAAAAAAACAGCTTGTTATATGTATTATTTTATATTATTGTGGTACTACAAAATCTTTCTACATTGTTGGTACTTTAAACACAAACTAGTTATTTTATAAGAAATAGTATAACCATTAAGCGTTTTTTTGTTTGAATTTGATCAAACAAAAAAACGCTTAATGGTTGTACTATTTCTTCATAAAACTGGTGCCATTTAGTAGTGTAAAGGTGCATCATACCACCATTTATTTTGTCCTAGGTTTCCGCATGCAACCTTTTTGCTTTTTATCTTCGACATAATTTATTTTCATTATTCACTTTTCATATGTTGAAATTTTGAGTAATCTAATATTCTCTTAATGAATATCAGTTTGCAAAAAAATCTGGTGAGACGTTGCAGCACCAGTTTTTTATTTTTATACAAAAATGGAATCAATCGGATTTCTATACTAAATGATGTAAATAAATACTAATCAACTAAACTTAAATTTAGTTTTAAGTTATTCTTGTGTAACAGAATTGCTACCAGTGTCAGTTATAATAAGAAAATTGGCCAAGTATGAGTTGGACTCAAGCATGAAAACTTTTTTTTTAGTATTTGTTATCATAGTGGTTACAGAAATGCATCATCTGTGTAGATTTTTAATGTCTAACTATAACAATTCATAAGATACAGCCTGGCGATAAACAGATAGCAGTCTTGGTAGTAGGGTTCCCATTTACCTTTTGGGTACAGGACCCTTAAAAGAAATTGTGAAATTGCCTGACGTAGGTTTTAGTACTCTATTTTTTTCAACAATAACAAAATCAATCACTTGTTATTATATTAGGGGTTAAATATAAGGGGTTAAGTATAAGGGATCAAAGTATGAAATTGTCGTTTTATTGTAATAAGTTCCTTGAATTGACATATAATCTTCAGTTAAATTTTTTTCACATGGTTTCCATGATGTACTTCTTTTAAAAAATGTGAAACATTTGAAACAACTTTCAATTGTTTTTGTTATTCAACTTAGACAAGAAAGATGGATACTGCGAAAATTCGAGTGATTTGTGAATATGAGTTCCGACGCGGAAGTAACGCGGTAGATACAGCCCGCAATATCAATGTTGCGTTTAGAGAGGCGTCTGCTAATGAACGCACCACGATTTTGGCTTAAACGCTTTCGTGATGGAAACTTCGACTTGAAGAACGAGCCACGGGGAAGATCCACTCACACAGGTGAATAACGATGAATTTGCGGCATGATTAAACATTACCTTACCCACTATATTGACTTATTTGCGTCAAATCAATAAAATATAAAAATACGAAAAATGGGTGCCTCATGATTTGACTGATCTGCAGAAAGAAATGCGTGTTGAAACTTGTGTTGCCCTGTTGAATCGGTATAGAAATGAAAAAATATTGGATCGAATTGTGACATGTGATGAAAAGTGGATTCTTTATGATAACCGTAAAAGAGAAATGCAATGGCTGACCTAAAGTTACCAATAAAAAGGTAATGGTAACTGTTTGGTGGTCTCAGCATGGTGTAATTCACTATAGTTTTCTGTGATCTGGTCAAACAATAACGGCAGATGTCTATTGTGCCGAACTCCGAACAACGTTGGCAAAACTAGCAGTACAACGCGAAACCTCATACTCTTTACGTTTTCTGCCCAGAAGGCAGTACAAAATGCTTTCATACAGTTTGTGCAGTCTGGATCCTCAGATTTCTATCGCAAAGGCATAAATTACCTTCCTATTAGATGGCAGCAATGTATAGAGATTAAATAAATTTGTTAAATCGGCAATTTCAAACTTTAACCCCTATTATTAACTAAAGATATGTTACATCTCCATGAAGAATAACAAACAGCAAACAGAATAGGAAGCACTTTTTTTTAAATATATGTACGAGTGAAATAATTAATTGCAGATATTGAAATACCTGAACGCCAAAGATTGCGAGTATATGAGAAGGTGCCACAATATCCACCTAATTTGAAACCCCCAAAGATGCAAAAAAGGCTTAGGTATATGAGAGGTCCAGAACCATTGCATACCACTTTACAATTGAACCAATATGGAGTTGTTGTAAGTAAGAAGTACTCAAGGTTACATATCAAGTTACCGCAATATGTCCCACAATATTATAATATTTGATAAATTTTGTGTTCATAATGTCGCAAAGTGGATTTGTTAAGTAAATACTTCATGAAAAATTTCTTTAGAAATGTTTTCCACAATATTTCAAATTTTCACAATCGATTTTGAACTCTAATGTATTAAAATTTGAAATAAAGTAGAGAAATTTAAAATTAGAAAATAGTTTTGTATAACCTGATGTGCTAACTGTACAATACTATTTAATCTCTTTAAGTATTGCATATTGATATTTTAAGTAAATTGCCTGGTTATTATAATTTTTTTCTGGAACTTAGTAGGAAATATCAATAGTATAAAATTTAAAATAATCTTCTGTAGTCAAATAATATTAAACATAGGATAAATAAATTAAAATAGTTTTCATAACTTTCTTATTAATTTCGAATTGGGTAGCAGTAATATCACTACGTTATATTAACTATATTAACAATATTCAGTAAATAGATAAATATTTTCTCTGAAAAGTCTTATCCATATTATGCTTTCTTTTTTGAGCATTTTTGATATGACTGTAAAAATGAATTTACTTACAACTGATTGCATAAATAATTATTCTCATGTTTCCAGGCAACTGGAGGAGGTCGTATGAGATTTGAGCATTTTGAAATGGCTCGCTTAGTTGTTGCCCGTAAACTGGACCAAAAAAGAATGTTTGCAATTTGGAGAATAGACCCACCCTGGCAGCCAGTCACAAAGAAAGGGCAAGGCCAACGAATGGGTGGCGGTAAAGGAGCTATTGATCACTATGTAACTCCAATTAAAGCCGGACGAGTGATCCTCGAAGTTGGTGGCAAATGTGAATATGCAGAGGTAAGTTACAAATTGTAAGGTCTCAACCTAGACACCCGCTGGCCTGGTGGGATTGAAAGCGCGGTGCGGGTGGTGACACGGGGAAATTGGCCGTCAGCGCAGTCAGATCACTCATTTAAAATTTGATATAATATGAGTCTATAACGTTTTAAAATTAGTTATAACAACAGTATAATATAATCACTCAGTCAAGCATTCGCCGCTCGATTGGCACGCGAAACTCGTTGCCTGTTGCCAGCACCGAGGCCTCCCAACGGTTCATACAAACTAAGGCATTTCTATCAAGTTGCGCGTTGTACCGCGTTTGCCATCGCTACCGCCACTGCGCTCGCGAGCGTCTAGTTTGTGGCCTAACGTCTCAATAATGCCAATCTAATTTTGAGTGCCAAATTTGAAATTAGTTGCAAATATTGTCTTAATTTATAGTTCGGTCATTTAAGGACAGAACTTAGATGCAAGCACTGTAGATTTTTTAGTATTTTTTTACAAGTTATTATTAAAGGATGAAGGTCCATAATTCATTATCCATTTAGTTTCAGGTTGATAGCATTTACGACTTTCTTGTATTTAAACATATATGTATTTTAATATACTTTTCAAAATTTCAAAGTGCAATGGCGTCCTTGCGCTCATAAGCAATATTAAGTTAAATCTTCAAAAAGGGTGGATTTTCGCGTAAAATGCTAAAATTGCAAACTTTGTGCCAAAATAGGAACAGTTATTAAAATAGAATGAAAAATATTAATAAAAACGTAAAATACATATTTTCTGCAATATTTAAACACAAAAATTTCATAGATACGATCAACCTGAAATTTAAGTAACTTTCAGGCTTGCAATAGCCACTTATGGACCCTCATTCTTTATTTATTTATTAAGTAAGCCTCATTCAGGCACAGATGCTACTCAAGTGTAAAATCGAGTACAATTAACATGTAAAAATTTATGGAAAATAATTGGCATTGAAATAAGTAAATAACTGAAAATATTTAGTAAAAGAATGTAAAACAAAAAGAATGTAAGAAAATATTTTATAACAACCTGATTGTGTGTATTCTTTTTGCATTTTCAAAGTGTACCTGAATTACCCTTTTCAGGTTTATAATATGTTGAAAATTGTGGCAGAGAGGCTGCCCTTTAAAGCTGAAGCCGTGTCGCAGGCACTCTTGGAAAAGAAAGCTGCTCAAGAAAAATGGGAAGAAGAAAATAACCAGAACCCTTATACTTTGAAATATATTTTCCAAAATAATATGGGAGGTTGTCATAGGTTCTTATCGCCATTTGATCATCGCTGGTATGGCAAATATTTATAAATATATATCTATTCATAACTATACTTAGCAAATGTATTTATAAATATTTTGTAGGAATAAATGGAAATGTTTAAAGTTGCCATGGGATTTATTTAATTTTTAATATAACTTCCAAAAAATAGGCAAATATTTTATTAAAATTTCACTTAAAACTGGAGAAGATCCACTTCGAAACTTTTAGCTTAGACAGAATAGTTGATATTCTATATTTTGTATATAGGCATTGAATGTAATCAAACCTTATTTTTAGTACCCCGTGACTCGAATAGTAGGCGTATTTGATAACTATTGAATTGAAAATTGAAGTTATAAGGTAACTTTAGTGGCTTGTGCGTGTAGTCGTATCATTAAGAAACTTTCAAAAGGTGTTCTACTTAAATGCGAAACATAGTTTTATACAGTTGCCTGCAAAACGTCAAGGACGCAACTATTTCATCGAGCTGATAATGAGCGAAACAAAACAAATGCGAATCACTAAATTATAACAGACAGTTATTTCGTTCTTCTTCTTCTTCTTAACTTTAATGGCACTTTGCGTCACCACATTACTGCCAACTTCACGTAGGAGACCATTACACGATTAAAATACATTCATTCAACCAAACAATTTTGAATTACCAATTCTATCTTTTTACGTAGATTCACCAAAAACAACACGTTAAACGATTTTAATACGTTAATTAAGAAATAATTTTATATAAACAATCGTATTGAGTCTAATCACACACCATTATTAAATTAATTAATTGTGTTAAAAAAAGTGAGCCAAAGATAACACCACTGATGTTAAAGTTTTAATTGATTAATACTGAAAAATGTAGTTAGAGATTTAACTACAGAAGCATCACTAATTGACTGAAGAACAAACTTGCTATCAAGAGGGCGAGGAATATTGGAGGGTAAAATATCATAAAGAGAACAAGAAATATTTGGCCAATTGAAAAATATGTGGTCAGGTGACCTCTCATCTAGACCACACTCACAAAGGGAGCAATCCTGAACTTTTATTTTCGCCAAATGGACAGGAGCAGTTATTTCGTTGTTTCGCTGCCGCATTTAGACGACCTTTGCGAAAAAAATATAGTGTACTAACGTTACGCAGAAGTGGCGCATTCGCAATTCTCTTTGCAGGGCTTCACTTCCACACACGAATGCGACAGGTGTCAATGTGAAAATAATTCTGAAATTGACATTCGATGTAACTTTATTCTGCGGCTCGATCGTGTTCACAGATCAGCTGTACGTATACTATAAACTTCTTGGCATATACATATCAACTGTCAGTGCATACTGTACGACCAACCAGGGTTTAAAGGATTAAAGACCAATTCGCTTGTAACAGTTTACTTAATAAACTGTCCTTTATTTGAATGTTTAGCTGATGTGTTTATTTCCTTTTTACTTTTTAATACAAAAAAAAAAGACCGATGATCTGTCAACATGACTGATTATTCAGGGTTATATTTTTAGATTAGATAGGTCAATAATTGAAGTTTCTGCTGCTCTAATTTACATATTCTATGGACCATTTACACTAGGCTGGACTGGCTTACTGGATATTATCTGCTATTTAGATTAGACAGTCTAGTAAGCCAGACCAGGTAAAATTAGGATTCGTTATATTGCATTGGACTAGCTTGAGAATTGTCTCCATTTTTCGAACCCAATACTGCCCTGTTTTACTGGCATGGCTGGAATGTTCCATTAATGCCATAGAATACAAAGCACGAAGTTCACGATTTGTCGAGCGTTGAAATGAAATGAAATGAAATGAAAATATCTTTATTCAAGTAGGCTGTTACAAGCACTTTTGAATCGTCCAAAAAAGACTTTTTTCCCCTACCACTTGTTCAGGACGTCTTTTAGCTGACAAGAAGAACAAGCGAAAGAAACTTATCAGCTTTTTATCATAAGTAATGACATTTACATAAATCATGTCATTACCAAAATAATATGTATTATCAATTTTTCACAATAGTAAATACAACTTTCAAAGTCTGTAGGACATAAGTTGAACATATAATTAGTCTTTATAGAACAAAGCGAAGGCTATTAATTCCATGCATTGCGATCCTTAAAGTAATCATCAACTTTATAATAGCCTTTACTCATAAGTATATTCTTTACATGAATTTGAAATTTATTTATGGGTAGGTCAATTACATTTTGTGGAACTTTATTGAACATAGCAATACATTTACCCAGAAATGATCCTCTGGTTTTTTGAAGTCTGAAGCTTGGAACGGCAAGTTTATCTTTATTTCTTGTGTTAAGATTATGAACACTACTTTTTTTTGTGAAGGAATCGTAATGTTTTCTTGTGTACATAATATTCTCATAGATGTATTGAGAGGCAACAGTCAGAATATTTATTTCTTTAAATAGTTCTCTGAGAGATTCCCTAGACCGTAAATTATATATAGCACGGACAGCTCTCTTTTGTAAAATAAAAACATCCTGAATGCTAGCCGCAGAACCCCATAACAATATACCATACGTCATTACACTATGAAAATAACTAAAATATACCAATCTTGCCGTTTCAACATTTGTCAAGAGTCTAATTTTCTTAACAGCAAAAGCTGCAGAACTCAGTCTACTTGACAAGCTATCAATATGAGGATCCCATTGCAGTCGGGAATCTAGTGTAATACCAAGGAACTTTGTCGATTCTACTAACTCAACTTTTTCACTATTTACATTTATAAGTGTACTGACATGCCTCACATTAGGTAATGCAAACTTTATGCATTTCGTTTTATTTGAATTGAGCTTTAAATTATTATTATCAAACCACTGTAGAACATTGTCGAGAGCATTATTTACATCGTCAAAACAATCATTACCCCTCTCAACTTTAAACAGTAAAGAGGTGTCATCTGCAAATAATACTGTCTCGCACAAATTCTTCGTAAAGTGAGGAAGATCATTTATATAAATTAGAAAAAGCAATGGTCCTAATATCGATCCCTGAGGTACGCCCATAGTAACTGGTGCCCCTGCAGATTTCGCTTCATTGATTACTACCTTTTGAATTCTAGCAGAAAGATATGATCTTATTAGATGAAGTGAATTTTTCGTCACACCATAATGTTCTAATTTCCCCAACAGTGTTTCATGACAAACGCAGTCGAATGCTTTTGATAGATCACAAAAAATGCCAATAGCATCTTGTTTATTCTCCCAAGCATCATAGATATGCCTCAGAAGTGCAATTCCAGCGTCTGTTGTACATTTACCTCTGCTAAAGCCAAACTGATTTTGGTGAAGTAATTTATTTAATGAAAAGTGTGCAAGCAGTTGATTGTAAATCATTTTCTCAAATACTTTACTTAACGCTGGTAGAATAGAAATTGGTCTGAAATTACTGGGATCAGACTTGTCGCCTGCCTTGAAAAGTGGGATTATTTTACCATATTTCATTAAATCAGGAAAAGTTCCTTCATCAATGCACTTATTAAAAATAAAAGTTAATTGAGGTGCTATAGCTGGGATTATAGATTTGATAACATAAGTTGAAACGCCCCAAAGATCTTCGGTTTTTTTGACATTAATACAATTAAATGTTTTAATAATTGAGCAGACGTTAACGTGTCTAAAATAAAATTCAGTATTGCACTTATCAACAACTGACTCTAGATGCGTAACCGCAAGTTTAGAACATGAACTAAGATTTCTTGTGATTTCTATTGGTGTCTTAGAAAAGAATTTCTCAAATGTCTCAGCAACCGCTTCATCTGTTTTAATAATTTTATTGTCAACCTCTAATGAGTATGTGCGTATATTACTTTTATTTTTACCCGTTTCTTGATTTATGATAGTCCAGGTTGATTTTATTTTATTTTCTGAATTGTAAATTTTTTCAGATATATATTTTGCTTTTGCTGAAACACATACTTTCCTAAAAATTTTCGAATAATTTCTGACATATTCAATAAACTTTGGATCGGTCGAGGTACACTTTAGCTCATACAAATCATACAGCCTATTTCGACTTTTGTAGATGCCAGGTGTAGCCCAATCACTAAATTTCTTTTTTTGGTTAGTAAAGTTAATTGTTTTGAGTTTAAATGTTTTATCAAATTCTCCCTTTATCAAGTTAAAGAAATTATTATAAACATCATTTATATTTTCCAAATTACTAGTTGTCAACTGAGTCTGATTTGCAGAAACACTGTTTTTAAATTTTTCTAAATTACTTTTGGTAATAGGTCTACAAATTATATTGCATTTAGGAGAAACATGATGGTGCTCGAAAGTTGCTAGAATTCCGCTATGGTCAGATTGAATACAATTTATTATCGATTTTTTGAACACCTTACATTTACAAAAAATATTATCTAAGCAAGTAGCGGATGTGGGTGTAATGCGGGTAGGTTCATTAAAAATATTTTCTAAATTAAAACATTTAAACAAGTTCAAAAATCTACTTGATTTAGCACATTTTATTAAAATATCTATATTAAAATCACCACATATCACTACTTTCTTATTGACTTTGCAAATTAATTTAAATGCATCCTCCATAGCAGATTCAAATTGACAGTAGTCCCCATCAGGTGGTCTATATACACATATAATAATATACTGTTCAAGTTCCACACATGACAATTCAATATGTCGCTCAATTGAGAGGGATACTATATCTTTACGTTCTTTACATTTTAAATAATTACTTATTATTATTAAAGAACCCCCTCGTATGGCATTTATCCTACAGAATGAACTTATAATTTTATAATTTTTAAAACCCGTAATTAATTCATAATTTTTGAGCCAGTGCTCTGTAATACATATTATATCAATATTCATACTATTTAAACACATTTCTAATTCTAGATCTTTTCCAGAAAAGCCTTGTATATTTTGGTGAACGATAGTTAAATAGGTAGACTTTTCCTTGGTCATCTCATTGCTAGAGATTTTCTCTATTGTCTTATTAAACAATTTAAATTGTCAAAATTTAGTTTTGGAACATATTCCAAAGTCTGTTTGTTTAAGTCAATATGATTCTGCTCAATAAAAGCAGTAGAGATAGCCAAATTATTGGCTAAATTTTTAAAATAAAATACTAGCGAGG